TATATATGTACCTTCACTTGCATCTTCAAATACTGGACAATTATTTAATAATTCTCGATTAAGATGAAGACATATATCAGCTTGAATACATTCTGGAAATGTCTTCAATATACTATTCATATCAATTCCTTTTGTATTTTTCCATTCATGATCAAATGATTCTTGCATTTGTTTAGCAAGTTGTTTACTAATACGATGATGTTTTATAAAATCATCAACACTTTGTTTCATTTCTTTTAATTCTTCTGTACCTTGATATAATTTAATAATTATTGTTGTTACACTTCCCAAAATAGAAGCACTTAAAAAAGCTTTACAAGAGCGACAAAAAAAAACAAAATTTTATTTAAGTTTTTTAATATTGATACATACATCCAGCTAGCATTGAAAGAATAGAAAACAACTTTTCACCATTTGTATTCTATCCGGAAAAGAGATATACATGATTTAATTAGAAGAAAAAAACAAAAACCAATATATATATGTATAGATATTATTTTACCGCTGCAACATTACCAAAACCAACTGATGTCAATGAAGTCATAGCAAAAAAGAGTGCTGTTAAATATTTTGATTTTGTATCTGGTCCACTTAATGTATCATTGACAACTAGAAAAATAAAAATAATGATTATTATTTTCTAAAGATAAATCTAATAGATATGTAGTCAATTATTCATCATAAGAAAAAAAAAAAAAACTTGTTTTCATTCATATGAAAAAATCTAGACATTTTGACTATGACCTTGATTATAATTAACATACGATAAGGCATTTTATATTTATCAGCTAGATGATCAAGCCATGAGTATTTGACTTGTAGATTAGGTCCTTCAAGTATTGCAATAAAATGAAATATACAAGCAAACCAATGTGCAGCAATAGCAAATAGAAGCATAAGAAGAAATAAAACTGCTGATCGATATTCAGTTTTTTGAAAATTTCGAACAAATGCAACAAGTCGTAAAAGTCGAGCTAATTTAAAACAATTTGCTAGACGTATCGTCTATTTTTGTTTGTTTTAAAATAGAAGAAAAAAAGACAATATATATATATATAAGAATAATGAATTAGAGTTTATGTTTTTTTTTTCTTTTCTTTTCTTTTCTTTTCAAAGAAAAGATCAAATTACCGAATGACTTCCATTACCAAAAAATAGAATATCCCATGGTAATGCACCAAGTATATCAGCTCCAAAACGTCTCCATGAATCAATAACAAAATGTTTAGCAATTAATATAGGACTTGTTATTACTTCATTTGTTTCTTTTAATACAAATGTTGTTCTAAAATAAATACATATTATATGTTAATTGAATAATATTTATTTAAAACAAAAATAAAAAAAAGAAAATTACCGAAAACTAATTAATATATCAAATATAAACATAAAATCAACGAGTACATCAATAATAACTAAAACATGAATACTTGTTCGTTCTCGATTAAATTGTCGTGTTGCTGCATGTGTATTTAAATTTGTACGTTTTTGATCTTCATCAGATAGAAATGATATTGTATAAGGTGTTATAATACCTGTATATAAAACAAGTAGAATAACTACCCAATCCCATCTATATACAAATAATAATAATAATAATAATAAATATATAGATATAAATATAGATATAAACATACACAGCTTTAAATGGTGAATAATGAAGAATAATAAATCGTTGACCAAGTCGGCGTGAACTTGCTATTGCTTCATTTGTATTTTCTTGTTGATCTAATACAGGTGTAATACTAGATGTTTCACTACTTTCTGATGATTTTGTCTAGATAAAAGAGAATAATTATTAATCTATGTATTTATTTTAAATAGAATCAATATATAATAATAATAAATTACAAGAGAAACTTCTCGATCAATTCGTATATGTGATCGAGTTTCAGCTGAAGGAAATAAAGAAAGTCTTGTTAATCGTCTCATTGACACCTTTGTTCATTATTCTTTGTTATTGTCGTTGTCATTATCTTCTTCTTCTTCTTCTTCTTCTATGTATATCCAAAGATTTAATAAACAACACTTTTCTTTTCAACACACTATTTATTAAAGGTTCTTAATTTCTTCTCCCTTGCTGATTCTTTTCTCGCCTGATTTTTTTTCTTCTTTTTTTTTTTTTTTTTTTTATAAAAGAAAATCGGAGAGGCTATAACCGTGTTTTACAGCTCAGAGCGTCTATAAATTACTTCGTGATCGATAGGTAAATTGATAGTTTCAATAGAAACGGAAATTGTCTATTTCTCAATATGTCACTCCATTCATAGATATTTTTAAAACAATTTGAAGAAGAAGAAGAAAAAAAAAAGAAATTCTCCATTAAAATACTGATCACCTTTGTTACTATTTTTATTACATGATTCAATATGCATGTCATTTGTCAAGCATATTTGTATTTGAAATCGACATACAAATATACTTATAGATCTATATAATATATACAATCCATTATTTTCTTCTTTCGATCCATGTATAAAGAAAGATATTTTTTTTTTTTAATGAGGTCACATTTTATTATTTCAGCTTTGCATAAAACGCATGCAAACAAAATGAACTCAATTCGATCATTTTGATTAGTTTATATAAAAAACTATGTCGTCGAATATAGAATAAATTAGAATTAAGGTAAAAAAACAAAATTTGATGTTATTTACTTTTTCTAATGTCATAGCACCACGTCTTTGATATGATGTACTTTCATTAATATTAGATCCAAGATAAGTGGGTCTTCTATGTTCATTCAAAGTATTCATTGTTCTTAGAACACGCATCAATCGTTGTGTTCGACGAACCTAAAATGAAATATTAGAAAATATCAATATAAAATGAATATGAATATAAATATGATGAGACTAAATATGTCTAGCATAAAAAAAAAGTCATACACGCAATTGTTTTTATTTTTTTTTTGATTTTAATTTCTTGCATAAGAAAAATTTTCATAATATTTGTTTTTTGCATTAATAAAATGTTATGATCTATTCTTTAACATACCGTTTCTTGAAATGATAATCGTCTAGCTGAAGCAGTAGATGTTCTCATTGAATTCAATTCTTGATTTTCATCAGATGATCTACTTTTGGAACTTGCCATTTTTATACTTAAAATGCTTGTGTATAAAAAACAAGGGAAAATTCTAGAATTCTTTTATTTATGTTGAAGTAAATATATTCTTTCGCTTACACGATACTATTTACGGCCAATTACACTTGTCTCTTCTATGTTTATATTTCCATCTTCGATGTTCTATCTTTTTTCTTATTTCTTCTTACTGTTATACGATGGTAACATGCGTAAATCATGACAATCTGTTCAATTGATGTCGTCAAACGCTCGTCTCAATCATCAACACAGATAAAGAAAGAGTCCACTTGATATATGCGTTCTTCTTTCTTTCTCACTCTCTCTATCTCTCTCTTGCGCTTGTCACGATGCTAATACTAGACGTCATTGTCAATGTTGTCACATTAATAATTTTGATTTGTATGCCATCAACAAATACAATACTGCTTCCCTGATTGAGTATGAGGCACACTTTACTTGACATTTTAAATCAAGCAAATTTCATATTAGTTTAATCTCATAAATCGATTCCTTTTACCAAAAAACAAAAAAAACAAATAGGACTCGACCAATGCCGACAATTTGACATTGTCGAGATGATTTGTCACACAGATCGGAGTATACATAAATGGTTCCTTGTGATGTTCAAAAATTCGTTAGAAAAAGTCTCATCTACATAGAGAGCAAACGGTAGCTCTGAAATCGATCAAAACAGATACTAAAACTTCATCTTAGTTTAAAAAGCTGAGAAGTGATAAAAATCAGTTAGATGCCGAATGTTCTTTTCTCCAGTAATACTCGATCAAGTCATTCACATAATTCTTATAGAATTTGACCATATGACAATGTTTTCAAGATCTAGATATTCTACAATAGAATGATGTGATTAAAAAATGATCAAAA